TGCTTACCAAAATCCTATCCTTCCCAGCTTCTAAGGTCTAATCATGTTTCAGGTGTAGTAATCGAACTCTTTCCTTTGACACCTTTGGATTATTAGATAATTTACCTCACACAAGCAATGGGGCCAAAAAGAAAACTAATAATCTTGGGCCATCCATCATTTGACCTTTTCTGCATCAGAATTCTCAAGTTTAGGGTTGAAATCGAGAAATGAAGCGGATCATATAATTCTCCGAAACTATTGACTGGTATTATGTATAAACTGAATTACTGGTGGGTGCATTCAACCCAAAAAAAAAAAAAAAAAAAAACTTTTGGCCACGAGCTAGTACATAGACAAGAACCCAATTTAGTGATCTAATACGAAATTTTGACCAGGCAACAGCACACGAGTTTGGCGGCCAAATATCTTATCCTTCTAGCTCTTGTCTTGAACGACAAAGCACGTTCAAAGCAATCAGGACCAGGAAATTAATCATATGTATGCAAAGAGAATTATAAATGAGTCATGGAAGCATTACAAAATCAGCCCGACAAGGACTCTATTTCAAACCCAAAACAATGTCAAAATATAATAACAACAATATCATCCAAATCAATCAACCCATAGCAATTACATAAATCGATGCCTATAGACACCCGTATAGGCCATCCAGTTTTAAGTCCGAAAAACTTTCTTCAACATTAATGAAGATGGTTAGGTTCTTGAAGGCTTGGTTGAATGGTTGTGGTAGCTTTTCAAATTGCGTAGCTCTAAGCACAGGCGGCTATGGAGGGCTGCTTGTGCTCTGCATGCTTGTGATAACGTCTCTTGTAGCGGTCACCGTGATTATATTTGGATGTGGCGACCATCAAGATAAAAAATCAGCCAAGAAGAAACAAACTAGAACCTCTAGCACCAGTACAAGCAGATCTTGTGGTTATGGCGCAGGTGTTCGTGCTGGTCAAGCTAAAGAATCAGCGAAGAAGGTGCAGTGTAGAACTAATAGCACTAGCAGCTCTGATGATTATTTCCTTTATTATGGTGCTGATGCTGCTTTAAGTACTAGTGCATGTGATGGGCATGGAGGTGGTGGCTGTGGCGGTGGCAGCCATGATGGCCATGGAGGCGGTTGTGGTGGTCATGGCGGTGGTTGTGGTGGTGACGGGCGCGATGGTGGCGGCTGTGGTGGGGGTGGCTGTGGGGTGAATTCTTAGTTTATGATGAAAAAAAAAAGGCATTCTACAATTGGGGCGATTTTTGGAGGTTTTTCTACAAATGGGGTGTTCGCATTCCGGGAATACGAGCTCACCGAGCGCCAAACCCATTTCGAAAAAAAAAAAAAAAACAGAAAATTGAGTCACAGAACGCATTATCGAAACATAGCTATTGAACAGCAAAACAAAGAAAACAGAGCTGTCGAATAGCAAAACAAAGAAAACAGAGCTGGGTTCTGCACATCGAAGCATCCAAAGACCGGAGCTGGCCACCATTTGTCCTATTTTGTGGTGCCCAAACGCCGGACGGCAGAAATAGGAGGAACGGCGCCACCATCTCTGTTGTTCTGCTCCGCCGGAAGCCACGCCTCCTTCTCTTTGTGGCTCGCTGAAGCAACCACTCCAGATTGCAGCCGGTTTTCAGAGCTTCTTCAACCACCAGATTGCAGACCCATTTGCGCCTTTGACCACCCACTGCCGCCCCATTGCCGACCCAAAATTTGCCAGCATTGTCGTCCCATTGCGACTCTCAAACAGCATAAAGGTGAGCCTTTTCCATTTGCAATGCCTCACTTATAGCATTTTAAGTTTAATTAATACTTGAATACTTGAATCCAACGACAAGTTCAGATTTGTTGTGAAATTTGGATTTAAAGTTGATGTGGGTTGTGCTTATTTTTGCAATTTTTGTGGTGGATTTGAGAATATACGTTACATTTTTCGAATTCTTGCAATTTTTCTGTTTCCAATTTGTTTCAGTTTATTTGCACTTTCTGCAATTAGTGTAGAAAAAGCATGATCCGAGCTCGGATCCGACTCAACACAGAAGGATCCGACCTCAGATCCTTTGAGGATCAAAGGCGAAATTGGGTGATACGACCTCGGATCCATAGTTGTTCACTCAGATCCGAGGGCTCGTCTGATCATCTGTTGAGACGGATCCGAACCCTGTTGGATCCGAGGGATTCCAGAAGTATCCGAGCTCGGATCTGATCTGTTCGCGGACATAGCAGATCCTATGCTTTGTTTCTTTTCACTGACCTCGCATCTCAGTGACCTCGCATTTAAGAGATGCGAGATAACTGACCACGCATTTCATAAATGCGAGGTCTGGTTTTCTTTTTGTTTTTTTTTTGGATTTCGTTGTTCGAAAATTCGAGGAGACTTCGCATTCAGCAAATGCGAACTCATGGAGCTCGCATTTGCTGAATGCGAAGACCCTTTGGACGGAATCCCATGCTCAAAATGCCCCATTTGTAGAATTTTTTTAAAATTCATCATAATTTTAGAAATATCTCTTTCATCATAGTTTTTTTAAAAATGTCTATTTTTTGTGTTGAAGAAGATAAAACAAAAAAAAAAAGAAAAAAGGGGCAAGTTCCATTTAAAATAGAAAATGAGTTTTAATTAAGGGAATTAAACATGAGATGCAAATGAGAAACGAATTTCTCTAGGGCAGCTATGGGTAAATCGTACATTAGAGTTGTGTTCCTAGAGAAGATTTTAGAAAAATAAGGGCCTTGAACTAAAATGGAAAAATAAATTTTGCTAAAATTACAATATATGTTAGCGTGACCCAAGATGCCGAGCATTGAAGTTGTCTTGGACGCATTTCCGTTGTTTTAACAGTCTTAGCATGCCATTTAATTATTTTTTATATACATTTAGACACTATTGTCGTATTTTAACAAGTGTATATAAATATATTTGACAAATACTTATTTTTCACTAATGTAGTTATCAAAGCCATTTACAATAATTAATACTTTAATACGCCCTGTATAATTTGAAATGATAATAATTACAATAATTAGTACTTTAATATGTCTTGTGTAATATAAAATGATAATAATTAATCATCTATGACTAGTTTAATGTACAAAATAATTCTCTAAAATGCTAAGCACATAGTAGACAAAGTCTCTAATACTCAATGTGGGGGCAAGGGTTATGTACCAAATTTGGGTGGCAAATGCCCACTTTTCAGTTTTTGTTTTTAAAATCTATTTCGCAGCTATTATTTTTGGTCGAAACACTATCTACATTGGACATTTTATGTTTTGCAATTGGAGTTTAGAAATTTTATTGACATTATGTAGTTTATAGATTGGAGCTTTTGAATTTCATGGATATTTGGATTGTTTGACAAGGAGTTTTAGCCCATTTATAGGGGAGACTCTGTCGAATTTTTTGTAGAGTTTTCTTTGTGAGGGCAACTGACTATTACAAATACATGACGCAACTTCTGTTTTTTTAAATGATTTTTTGTTGTAAATTATTTCTTCATATAGGTACATACAAGGTTGGTGACACAAACTTGGGAGGTTTAGAGGCTGGCGTTGGTACCTCTAAGATCCTGACCACAGAAGTTGGCTAGATTCGAATTTGATACAAGTCATTCGGTAATATATTTTATATTACAACTTTTGAATTTTTTACGTCGAATTGAAATAGTATGTTTTGTTAAACTTCTGGATGTAGAAGAGGGCGTTAGAACACGTTAACGGATTTATTTTAAGTGGAATCGATGAATTTAAAGTTAAATCTAATCTTGTAGTATGTATTTACAATATATGCATGTCAAGGTTAGGGAAATAACAGATAATGCTGTCAAGTGACCTTTGGATATAGCCAAAAAAATCTTATTGTGTTGTTGATAAAAATAGCATACGTATATGAACATAGATCTTGTATAGCTATATGGATGTGGAGCAAAAAAATTGATTAAATATTCTTCCAAATCGCATGTCAATCAACTCTCTTTTGCAATTCGTAGGCGGCTCATAGTTGCTAGGGTTCTAAATTATAGGGGACATATATATTATACAGTGTGGTGTTGACCGATTACAACTTAATATAGACCATGTTTGTATCATTGGTACAGTGAGTTTTAGCCTACTTATAGGGGAGACCCTGTCAATTTTTTTTTTAAATATCTTTGTCAGTTTTTGAATATTTATAACAATTTCCGTAGGGGAGACTTTGCCGATATTTTTAAAAAGTTTTTGTAATCTTCGTTAACTAACTATTACTAATTGGGATACAAATAACTTATATACCAACCATGTGTCCGAACCGAATCACGCCGTTGGAGCATTACCCTGGTCCATATGGAGCTAGGTGCGCGTTTTACCCTTATTTCGGTTGTTTTAATGACATTTATTAACGAAACAACTTTAATTTGTTCTAAACAGGTTCCTACTTTATTAAATGTAGGTGGAATAATGACTTGGACGTACACAGAGTTGTTAGGCATGTTGTGCCCGTATTTCGAGATCAGTTGACAGGCCTGCGTCCTGAAGAGGTATTGTACATATGTCCAGACAATAGAAATATTTGAAAATCGTGCCAGTAGTCTTGTCATAATATTTCTTGTCAACTGAAAGCATAAGTTTGCCAAATTGCACTTTCTGAATGGAAATTGAGATTGTTGGCAGGGAGTTAACCTCCAGTTATAGGGGAGACTCTGCCGATATTTTTTTATCAATTCAAAAATTTTTTAATTGACCGGAGACTAGCACTTTTTTAATGAAATTGTCCAATTTGAATATTGGATAGTTTTATTATTTCTTAATAGAAAAAATGAAACAACTTTGATTTTATATTGTTTTCAGTTCATATGGCAGCCATATTCGGAAGACGTTCTCGCTTCTCTTCCTGCGTATTGTACTGCAGGTCGGGACATTTGGAGGTCCGTAACGTATCTTATTTGCTGGGATGTAGTTGAGCCGCACCTCCCTCATCGGATTATGCGACAGTTTGGGTTTCATCAATTCCTGCCTGATATGAGGTTGACAGATAATCAGCAGCTCTACATTCTCTAGATCGTCATGGTAGGGCGAATCAAGACTGGAGCACCACGCATAGACAATATATTGATATTTGGACTGATCGACCGGTGCATGTACAAGATGGCACTGTAATTGAAGATACTACATATCCATCGAATGAGTATGTTCAGTGGTATCGGGAGCGGACGGTGATTTATATTTCAAATCCGAGTCGATTTTCCGCTTTCCCAGTGGGCTTTCAGGGTGATAGCGCTAGGCCACAATATCTTGTAAGTTTATTTCCAACCCACTTTTAATAATCACTTTGAGTTTGCTCACTTTTTAAACTATTTTTTATCACAGTATCTCCTTCTTATTCTTGTAGTTGTTTCTCTAGAGCGATGCCATGTTTCGCATGTATTTCATGGCACGGGACTCTCTTGCAGTTAGTGATGAACAACACAGCAGATATTTTCAAGAGTTAAGGGACTTTGCATCCACATCTTTGCATCATGTAGGAGAGTCACGCCAACTTGTATTTCGCCCTCCATATGTACCACAGGAGATTCCACTATATGCTGATCCATGTCGTGTTCATCAAGCTCCCAAAAATACCCACGGAAGTCGGCATGGCGGTGGACGACGTCATAGACTCCGATCACCAGAACCCGCCATACAAACTGGATTCCATGGAGGCTCGATGGCTACCGAGGACCAAGCTGACGCATCTACTTTTGTCATACCTCAGACCGAAGTCATGCATGAGAAAGGTGCATCGATTGGGCATTCTAGATCCCCTGTGACTTTTCCAGAGTTTACGACCGATAGGGACTCACATCAGCATACTTCTGAGCAATGTGAAGGAGGTGAAGGCACAAGCACTCAAATTCAAGATGCTATACTGTTGACACATATTACTCAAGTCCATACAGTAGTGCCAAACCAACCACATCGAAGTCGAAGAATACCCAAACCAACAACATGTGGTACTAATGGAAAACTTGGGCAACATTGATGGCACGCTACTTATATCGTTATTGTATAAATAACCTAACTTATGGATTGCATACTTTGTTGGTGACATTTTGTATATATTCTAAAATTTCACGAATATGAGTGGAACAATGCCATCACGCGTATCTTATTTCTCACTTTATATGAGTACTCTTTTAAACAAAACCAAAAAAAATGGCTACATATGTAAACCAAAAAAGGTAAACTATACTAACCTCTCCTCTAGTTCATACACGGTAAGTTAGTTACATGTCGGAACATAACATTTTAAAAAATTAAACATACTATTTATAATATATTTATAAATTGTTATTTTTTACCTTTTGTTATTCATAGTTTCCCCATTAAATATAGGGTACAAACTTTAACATTCTCACATTGGCAAGTTAAAAATAAGATTCCAATTTTGTTCATAAAAATTAAGCCCTAACTTATTAACAATTTTATTTTATTTTATATTGACCTTGAAAATAAAGAAGCAAGATGTGTAGTTATTTCGTTAGTATAGTTGTATTATAATAAAATTATTGGCTCACGACATGGTGGATTGGCTCGGAAGTTTCGACTCATGGAGAGAAAATCGCTCCTTAATGTTCTAAAATGATTCAATTTTTTTGAGTCGAGCCAACGACTATAAACGAAACCGCTTGTTGGGAGGCAACCCAATAATAATATTGTAGTTGTGTTTTTATGTGTTTCTTATATTTTGGTGTGATTTAATTGACTAAATAGATATATTTCACTTGTTTGCAGGCGGTACCGGAGTTTCATCATTATTTTGGAGGTACAATTGAGGAACAAGTATAAAAAGGGAGGTTTTCTTATCAAATTGTGCTTTAAGTGTTTAGAATTCCCAAGCATACATACAATGTTGCATTTTTAGTATATTCAAGTGAGTTTTGGAGATAACATGTTTATACATGCTCATGGACTCATTTGATGTGCATGTAATGTCCAAAAGTGTCATTTTTGTGTAAAAATGTAAAAATGATCAGAGAACCTCACCCCTCGATTTGCAATGTAAATATGTTTGATATGTTTTAAGAGATTGGATATTGTACTTTTGGTATATTACATGTGCGTGGGAGGTTAGAACTGATAAAACGTTTTTCCAACGCGTATTTTGGAATTGGCCGAAAAAAGGGAGAAAAAGTTTAAAAAATTGCAGTTTCTACAATTAGTGCAGAGAAATACAGATCCGATCTCGGATCATAAGTGCCCAGAAGGATCCGACCGCGGATCCATTGATCCGAGCTCGGATCCAAAAATTTTTATATATATCCGAGGGCTCGTCTGTGCTTCTGGCGGTGCGGATCCGAACCATGTTGGATACAAGGACTTTCAGTAACGATCCGAACTCGGATCGATTCGCGGATATAACAGAACCGAAGTCTCGTTTCTGCACTTTTCAAAGTTTTCTTCCCTCTTTTCACCGAACCCTAACCCTCTCGCTCTAATCTTCCATTTCATCCGTTCATTCCCTAATCTTTCACCTCAAAATCATTTTCCAACATCTTGTGATCATAAACCCTCAAAGATTTCATTTGAAAAACATCAATTTTGGGGGATTTCAAGTGTTAAAACCGAAAGGAGGGCCGAACTGAAATCTTCAAATTTGGAGCGAATTTGGACTATTTTCTTCCTCATTTTTGCAACAATATCTTCTTCTATCATCACTCTACACATTTGAGGTAACAATTTGCAACTTCCTTTGAGATTTTATATTTCCTATTTTTGCATTTTTCTAGTTTTTGGGCATATTGTGATAAATGCCTATTTGTTGAAATTTTTCTTGTTATAAATGTGCTACATTGTACTAGAATATGTTGTTACTACTATTTTTATGCTTAGTATGGAAAAAGTTGGGGATTTGGTGATATTTTTGGTATATTTTTTTAATTTATTAGGCTAATGGCAATTTGGTTCTTTAGGCTTGTGAATGTTGGTTTCCATTGAATATATAAACTTGTTTTGAGGAGTATAAGTCACTGTTGTACCAATTAAAAATGATATGCGATTAATAGAACCAATTCCATTGTGTAAAAGAGTGTGTTTATGATTAAGTTTAGCACATTCAATTTTTTATTTTTTTACTTGAAATCTCTTATCTGTTTGAGTTCAATTGTAATTGTTTTGGTAAATTTGAAACTCATTCGTATGCACTTTATTAAGAATGGGTATAGCCAATTGTGGTGTGATTCTTGGATAAAGTTATGAATATATCGGCATGTTCATTCTTGAAATAATGGTTGAGGTTCAAATAATCGAACTCTTTGATGAGATTCTACCTGAAAATATGCATTTGAGTTTGAAATGAGTTAAGTAGGATTTTTGGTTGTTTTTTTGGTACATGTTGGCAGGGAGTTTAGCCCTTTTATAAGGGGAAACTCTGCTGAAATTTTCTTAAATTTTATGTGAGCAAGTTTATAATGTTATAATGAACATTCATCTTGTTTTTATATAGGAACTATGGCTCGCACAATGAGGGCTCGTATTCGTACTCCTACACTATCTTCAAGCGAGGAACGCACTCCCTCACATGAAGAGTCGCCTGAGGAAGAATCTCCTTCGCCTGAGCCACCACCTCGGTCTCGCCGGAAGACCGCATCCACTAGCCGCGACGAGACGCTTCCAGATTATGACACCACTAGATTCACGTCACTCGAGAATCAACAGTGGTACGAAGCAGGTTTAGATAAGGAAATTATCATTGAAAAGCACCTGACACCGGAGGTGGATGCGCACTACCACATCTTTACGGCATTCAAGAGATTCGGATAGGAAAACATCTTTCAATTGCCCAAACACTACTACTCCAACAAGGTCCGGGAGTTCTACGCCAATGTAGAAAACAAACAGAGTCACAGTGGCAACCTCATCGTCTCTTGGGTTCGAGAAAAGAGAGTGGCTCTTAACCGGGATACAGTCGCCAAAATCGCCAAACTCAAAGACGAAGGAGTGGATGTTAAATTGACTAAGGAATTCAAGGCACGCGACCCTTGGTAGGTGGGAGAAGCAGTAGCACGTCTAAAGGGTCAATATAGGGAGCGAGGAAGTTCAAAGAAGCTCACCGTATATGCCGACTCCTTCGAGCATAGGTACCACTTGATCTTCTATCTCTTCGCCTTCAATGTGGTACCCAAGAGGAGTGGAAAACGGGAGCTCTGCAATAGTGACCTCTACTTCTTGGATAAGATGATGCACAGTGTGGGTGGGCAGTTGACTGGTATTTCTTTGCCCAACATCATCATCAGTTACATGCAGACCACAGCTCGCATAAGGGCTGGCGAGACTTGCTTTGGATTCCCTCGACTGCTATCCCTCATTTTTGAGAAGTTCAAGGTTCCTCTTGGAACCGAGCGAGCCATTGTCACTAGATCCGCTGACGAGGTTAGTGCCTCGATACTCAAATCTTTGAGTATTTCTACAGATTTTGGAGCTGCTCTGGTTCGAGACACTAGAGAAGTTTCAACTTCTACTCAGCCCCCACCTCACACTCAGCAAGAACCAGAAGCTCAAGAGACAGGGGCACAGTAGACTCTTCCTCCACCCGTTTCACGACCATCACCTCCGCCGCGATCCAAGTGGCAAGAGCTCCTCAATGCCATCTGCTGTATGGAGACAGGAGTCGTCGAGCGCATTGACCAGACCGAGAGGATGATGACAGAGCGACTCGACAGACATAATCGCCGTCTTCGTGCGATCAAGGATCATTTCCATATCCGCAAGTCACCTACTCTGACGTCTCAGCAGGAGGAGGGGCATATTGGTACATCACAGGGTCCTCATGGAAATAAGGAGACAGTAGACCCTCGTTCTGAGCAGCCATGAAGATCTTTAGCTGATTACATCTTTTGTTACTATTTTTTTCTTTTGTTGTGTTCGGTTTAAACTTTGTAGTTTTCATATTGGATTCTCTTGTGCTACTCATGATTTTTTGTACTCTTTTGTTTAATTGTGAAGAGAATTTGGATGATCGTGAGGATTAATGGCTTCAAATTGAATTACTACTTATTTTGAGGGAAGTTTCAGTTTCTATTACCTTCTTCACAATGAGGACATTGTTAAATTTAAGTGTGGGGGAGGGATTACTTTATCTTATGGGGATTGTGTCTTGAAATGCATGATTTGAGTTGTTTATGGCTTAAAAATGTTGGAATTTTATTTGGAAATGTTGTATTGTGGTTAATTTTCTTGAAATTGAGGTTGTTGACAGGGAGTTTTGTCCATTTTTATGGGGAAAGTCTGTAAAAATTTTTTAAAATATTTTCCAATATTTCAAGTTAATGGTCAAAATGTTCAATTCTGTGAAATTGTGAGTGGATTAATGAGTGGATTAAATGAGTGGATTAATGCATTAATTTTGTGAAATTGTGAAGGATATCGATATATGAAGTTCATGTACCAGCTGAAAGAAGTGTAAGGATTGTCTAGAGGATAAAGTACACAAAAAATTAGGAGCAAAAATGAAGGAAAAAGGAAGGAAGCGAAAAATTGGAAATTTAATGGCACGGATCCGAGCTCGGATCCGTGAGACCAAAGAGAGATCCGATCTCTCGTCTGTACTTCTGGAGGAATGTATCCGAGGTCAGAAGATCCAACCTCGAATCCATCATGCGAAGTCCTCGGATCCTAAAGATCCGAGCTCGGATCTATATTCAACCCTTGGATCAGAGGCTCGGATCTGTCTCTCTCTTCAGCAAGTGGCACAACCGTTTTCCTTTACCTTTTTCATAACTTTTCCAGCTATTTTGAGGGACAGAAATCGGTGGCACATGCTTCTGCAACAAAATAGAAGACCAAATGAGTTGTAGACAAAAGAAAACATCATATCTTTGATTCAGCTACTGACTACATTAGAGATAGCACTCAGAGTTTGAGGCTTTTAGGATTCAAGGTTTTAGGGTTTTAGAGATCAAAATTTAGTGTTTTATGAGAATAGCACTTTCGGGTTTAGGGTTGTAGGATTTTATTTTGACAATAGTGTGCCTTCATTAGGACTTTAGATTTTTAATTAAAATAGTAATCCTATCGTGCCATTAAAATATTTTTTTAATGGATTTTAATAAACC